CTAATCCTGAAAGCTGCCAAGGTTGAGAAACCCTGGTTGAGGGGCTATATTTGGCATCACTGTACTTTGATTCCCTTTTCCTTTGCCTTGATATCTAATCCTGAAAGCTGCCAAGGTTGAGAAACCCTGCCCTCAACCAATTTGATTTATTGGCAGGGCCATCAGCAAATTATAGTCCTTAGAATGGCTAATGAAACAAAAACATGTTCAATCAAATAATTATAGAATAAATGATGGGAAGCAGGATAGTTACCAAAATAATACAATATGCCTAACATAATCAGATCTGAGTACAGGTCCATTATCTGGGTGGGAAAAGGAATCTATAGCTTAACAGTAAAACATATTTTGCAGGTAGAAGTCCCAGGTTCAAACCCCAATCTTTCCATGAAGAGTTGGAAAAAAGTCTTGGCCAACATTTTGGAGAGTGGCTGCCAAACAATGTTGGTAGTATTGGACTATATGGAGCAAGGTTTTGATTTCGTAGACCATTTCATGTTCATCAGTAGACAGGAGCAAGTTTGAGTTTGGCACCTCAGCTTTCAGTGTGGGCAACAGAAGCTAGATGGATTAAAGATCCAACTGAGCAGAAGACAAGTTTCTATTTATCTAAGGAATATCCTGAGTTTGATCCTTGAGATCTCCAGTGTGGCTGAAAAAATTACTATTGGAAAGCTTGGAAAGCAACTGCCAGTCAGAGTTGAGAACAGAAGTTAGATGACTAACGATCTGGCTCAGCAGAAGGAAATTTTCTATGTGTCTTTAGAAGGACCCAGATTTGATTCTTGAGTTTTGATTCTTGAAAACGTCTTGCTGAAAGCTTGGAGAGGAGCTGCCAACCAGTGCTGATTATATTGGTTTGATGGGCCAAGAGTCTAACTCAGAAGACAAATTCCTATTTGCCCATGTTTGAAGTGTGGCATCTCAGCTGCTGCCAGTCAGTGTTGGCAATAAAGACTAGATGAACCAAGAGTCTAACTTAATAGAAGGTCGCTTTCAAGCTTTCATGCATTTGCGCTCACTGGCTGGAAAACTGGACTACAGGGAGAAATTTACTGTTTACTAACCATTGGATATAACTCAGCCTGTATATTTGTTCTTGGCATCACAAAAGCAAAACAGCTATTGCAAAGGTGTGCATGTTTTTGTGGGTTATGTGCCCTTGGATGTGTACAGGACACTTCAATTTGGAAAGCAGTATATGTATGCAGGGGGTGTATGTGACCAGATCAAAATTTAACTAGCCTAAATTAAAATTAAATATAGCAAATGGATGTATTTTAACAATTATCCTCTTCTGCCACATTAAAGTTTACAATTAGCAACTATAATTGGGGTAGTCTCCAGTGAGGGGCACCCCAGGGACTCAGCACCCATACGGCTCTAGCCTCTGAAATGCAGACAATTTGGAATGTGATCAGATTTTCCTAAAATAATTAGGGAGTAACAACAGCAACAACATAGCTGGGAATGTGTGCATCTATCAAGCAGGGCAAGGGAGGCTCAGTTCAAGGTGACCTTGAAAGCAATCTGGTTTTAGAAGGTGACCTTTGGAAAGTTGGTTTTGCAGGGTCTCAGCAGGGAGCCAAGAAAGCTTTTTTTAATAGCATTAGAAGAAGAGGACCCCCCTCCCCCACCACACACACTTGTGTGCAACCAAGGGTGCAAAGAATCTTTCCAGCAGCCAGCAGAGTGTGACGCGTCACCCTGCCAATAGATGTCCACTATGGGATGTGGTTCTCTGTGCTGTCTCAGGCAGACACAACCATCCTTGAGAGTCCAGGCAAGCACTGCCTGGAAATCAGGGGGAGGAGGGCGTTGACGCTGTGTTTTGCTGTGAGCTAGAGGACCATCTGGCTGATAGGTGTTTGAAGGATTTGTCAAACCCTGGGTCTGAAGAACCCTCAGCATTGCTAAGGATCAGGGAAGAGTCAAAATCAACATAGGCACTTGGGTTGCAAGGAGCAATGGTTTGCTTCAAGCAAGCTATACAGGTTTCTTGTTTTGCCCTCCCCTTAAGAGATCTAGCTTTGGATGAGCCAGGTGCATCCAGGCAGATGGTTTAATATGCTTTCCTCCAGTCCATGAAGAGGGACTGTGTTGGTAGGATCTGCTCTGCCCCGTAGCTGTTCTCAGCTGTGTCTTGGTAAGGCCAATGGGCTGTGCTGGGTCACCAGGTTACTCTGCAGCAAATTTTGGTTCAGCCTTTGGAGGATTTCCCTGCTGGTGGGAAAAAGATCCATCAGTTGCTCCCTCCAATTTGGACCAGGGTTATGGGAGGAGTTGAGTTTTGGCAGATGGCTCGAGCTGCAGATTTAGCCGTCGGTCTGAACCATTAAGTATAAGCAGTGCTGTAATGATCTGGGTGCAACCTGCCTGTCTGACGTGTGTAGGAAATAATGCCCTAGACCCAGTGATTCTGGGAGTTGAAGTCCACACATCTTCAAGTTGCCAAGGTTGAGAAACACTGCCCCAGACTGTAATGGTATGTGGGAAAGACCTTGAGAGATGGGGCAAAGAGATGCTGCCTAGGGAATGGTCAGATAAGGGGGGGCATAGCCTGCAGCTGGATAGTGGGTGGGGCAAGAGGCTCAGAAGAGACCCTCCCTAGTTTCTCGGGCTGTAAAGGAAACGGTGGGAGATTTGTACTTTCAGACTTGCATGATTCTGTTGATGTAGCTTTACAATAAGGTAAAATTAGCTCATCTGGTTGTTTTTCCTGTCTGGTCTATCTACCTAGTAAGGCTGACATAGACTGAGAAGCAAGTCACTTTGCAGATCTCCTGGTCTACCACTTCCTCTAGCAATAGCTGGTAGACCAGGATCTCTGTACAGCGACCTCCGGTCAGACTGGTATAGACACCAATGCATGTCATGTCACAGTACAGGCAGGTTGCTGTACAGATTACTTGGGGCTATTACTCCTCTCCTGATGTCAGGTCAATCCAGAACACAACCCAAGTGACCATGGAGGGAGGACAGCAGTGACCAGAAGGATGGGGAAGCCCATAGAGCAGCTGAAGGCAGCCCTTACAGACTGGGCAGATCCCAGCCCAGCAAATCATTTCCCACCGTTGCTGCCAAAGCCCCACAAATGGTGTATGCAGCAAAGCTTGTGCCAGACAGGAGATGGAAGATACCCCTTTCATGGCAGATCAGGAACCTACCCAAAGTTACTAGCTGGGGATAAGAAAGAAGAGAGCCTCAAGCAGCTGAGTCCTTCAAAACCAGTTAGTGAGGCATCGTGGAGCCAAAGTTGGGGGAATGTATGGATGGGAAGCTCCTTCAAAACCACACCAGTTGGGTTTGGCACTTTGTACCCTAAAATTTGCCTCCGAGTGCTTATTCTCTAGAACACACCTCCGTCCACTCTGCAGAAGATTGCTGATTGCTCATTCCTATACTAGCCTTGTAGTATGGGCCTTTGGACCAGAAGTATTCTCCAAGGCACCTTCTGATATTGGTGCCAAATGTCAGAGATGTGCTAACTGAAGAGCAGGATTTGTGGGTTCTTGACATTTTGGAGCAGGAAACACACAGAACTGTAGTGTTACAAAGATTTGACCAGGGGAAACAAGGCGAACCAAAAGCCTCCAACTCCAAATCATCCTTCCTCCTCCTCCTCCTCAAATAAAGGAACATCTGTCCACGTGTGGGATAGAGCCTTGCCTGTTTTTCATCCCACTTATGTAGCCCTTGTGCACTCCAAACATGATTAGGGATCCGGCCAACTAAATACAGCTTTTTGTCAGTGCCCTGCAAAAACTGAACCAGTGCATTTATGGTTTGATAAGAGTCACCTGTAAAGGCTGGGTCCCCACATCTGCTGAATAAAGACTGTTCGTTCTCCCCAGAGTGTGACAGATAAATATGTTTGAGGCTAAATAGGTAATTTAATAATGTCAGCACAAACCCTTAAGATGCCAAGGGTGCGTCTAGAATTGTGGCTAAATGCATGATCTGTGAGCAAGGAAGGCATTGATACATGTTAGTGGCGGGTTCAGTTCAGAGATTGCATTTCCAAATAGTCACTACTCTGCACCTCGTTTGGGTTAATGGTGCTGGTCTACCTTCTGGAGCTGTTGACTGGGAAATTGTTGTACGTTGCTACTATTTCATTGTCAAGTCAGCGTGGCACACAGGATTTAGTCTTTCAAAGCCGCCCAAGAGGAAGTGGATTTGTAAGCTCGCTGGGAAAAATCCAGAACATAGAGTTTGACAGCTCTGCTGAAAACAGCAGTGTGCTTGGAGGTAGGGCGCAAGTCACCAATCTGTAATTTAAATTGAATCATTGCCTGTCCCTAGGTGTGGGTCATCCCTAGCTTCTCCCCACAGCCCAGTCCAGATAGGCAGAAGATAAGCAGGGTCAAAATAGGAAAGCGTGCTGTATAAGCGGATGGTTGCCGAACAAGCATTCATATTATTCTGCAGAACGTGTTTTCCAGGGTGGGAATATCAAATGATAGATGTTTGTATGTGGGAATGAATTGCAAGATTGTCAAGAAGCTGAGTTTTACATCCAGCAAAGCCAGGATGTTGCTTCCCTGCCTTCTCTTCCCCCGCCTCTTTCCAGCCAAGCTTTAATACGTCCTTTGTGTGGAAACTTGAAAGGACCTCGTTTCAAATTGATCTCAGCCACCAGGCGGGGTGACTCTCTTTCCCTAAAAATAGAAGCTGAGATTTTGGTGTGTAATTGTACGTCCCTACAAGCTGTGGTCTTGCGCAAGGCGGGAGCTTGATAAAATAGCAAAGTGATGGCAGATACCCTACAGGTTTCATTAACCTCCCAACAGGGAGAAGATGTCCGTCCCACCCGCAAAGGGGCCTTTGGAATGTCCTCCACATTCTTTGTGGAGGAGAAAAGGCAATATATATTTAGAAAGGATTCAGAGAAAGCATGCAGCTGTATTAGTCCCCCTGCCTGGCTGAAGAATACCAACTTGGTAACCCTACGTAGGAACTTGCGTGTACTGTAAGCTCAGACAAGTTAAAAATTCGCATCCAGACGATCCAAATTCTGTATCAAAGAGAAAGGTGGCTGGTGCTGTTGGCATAAATGATGCAAGTAAATAAAATTCTTGACATTTTGTTTGGGGAATTTTTACACGTTGCAAGATCGATCTTCTCTTGACCCAGAATCTGGCTTTGGTTGGCAATGGGATAGAAGAAGGAACTAGGTAGAAGGATGGGCAATAACTGGATCTGGATTTGCTGGAAGATCTCCAGATGGTTTGCTGTTGTGTTCAATGATTGCAAGGACAAAATGACTTTTTTGACTTGCAGTGACATTGCTGGACTGAGCAAAGATTGGGGCAACCCACAGGATGGGCCAGAACGACTGGGACCATTGTAATATTTGGAAAACACACAGCTTATAAGACGCTCTGGTTCAGGGTAGGCAGGAGATAAATTTGGATCTGGGTGATTTTTGGTAGAGTAGTAAGTGTTTATCCCAATTATTCTTAACAATAGCAGCCGCAATGTGGTTCTCTCTCTACGTTATACTACTGAAATGAAGGCAAAACAGACTCCTTGGGGAATACTAGGAATGGATTAAGGAGAGACAGTGATTCCAACTAGTTCTAAGTGTCTGCCTTTTGAAATAGGCTCTGCCTGGAATCTTTCTGCGTCCAGTAAAAAAGTATGAATTCTATACCTCTGAGCCCTCACTGGAAGAGATCTACCTTCCAGTCTAGAAAAAAGGAATAAGAAGTCCAGGCTCAAAACAAAACATATTGGTTGTACTTTACCAGCAAGTAAATGAGAAGCGAGGAAACTTTGGGTAGCTGGAAGCTACCAGTAACATTTTTGGCTGGAGTAAGGGTGGCCATGGGTCAGGCAAGATTGCAAAATGGGCATGGCTACATTCTGACTATGGTGGGGCTGAAATTTTCCAGGGATAAGTTTTCAAGTTTGGAGGGAGGTAAGGATTTATATTTGCTTGTTTAAAAAAAACATGGAAAGCCTGTTTTAGGGGTTGCAGTTTTCTCCTCAACATGGTTGAAGACTGAGCGGTTGGAGTTGTGAAAAGTAGGCTTGTAGGCTGTACGTTGCCCACTGCTGGTGTACATATATAGGGAGGCATGGCTCTCCTCCAAACGACATTTCCCAGTGCTTAAGAAAGAGGTGGGGTATACTGTATGGTATTTGAAAGCCCTAAGTCAGTGTTTTTCAACCTTGGAAACTTTAAGATGCTGGCTGGGGAACTCTGGGAGTTGAAGTCCACATCTCATAAAGTTGCCAAGTTTGAAAAACACTGCCTTAAGTGATTTCACCATGCTTCCTCTTGTCCTTCTTGTACCATTTGCAAAAAAATGTTAGTAAGCTGCCTCTGGGACACTAGCCAAACGTAAGATCTTGAAGCCACCTGTGCTCCAGTGTTTTTGTTCTTTCTCTTTTGCAGCGGTTCTGTGAACATCTGTTGTTTATTAGCAATTTGTCTCTTTTTTTGGCCTTCTGACAACACTGCATGGTTCTGCTTTCTTTCTGTCCAGCCACAACCCATGACGCCCTCCTGCGCGATGTTCTACAGGTCACCCTCAGCCATGTCGCCACCATCCAAAAGCAAATTCAAGCGACAAAGCCGGATATTCTCCCAGGTCTTGTACCGGACACTAAGCTATAGGGACCGCAGCTCGGTGGCCACTTATTCAGGGGCGAGCAAGGAGGACCCATCGGAACTGTCCACCCAGGTCTCAGCCCCTGGGGTTCTCAAGATCTTTGGATGCCACATCTGCGTGGGCACTCACTACAAGAGTGTCTTGGCGACTGCGAGCTCAAGTGCCCAAGAACTCTTGAAAGAAGCTCTTGAGCGGTATGGACTCAGCAGAGTAGATGTGGGCCATTATGTTCTCTGCGATGTTGTTGGGAAGTTTGCTGGCTCGGAAAACCAGTGGAAGATGGAAGGTTTGAGAATCCTTCGGGACAATGAGAAACCTCTTTTGATCCAGGACCTTTGGAAGCCCCGAGAAGGTTTCTCTCGGAGATTTGAGCTTCGGAAGAGATCTGAAGTGGAGGAGCTGACAGCCAAGGACAAAGATACCATCACAGCAGGTGAGGAACAGAAGATCTTTTGGGAAGATGATACTGCTGTCTACAACACTGAGATTCAGCCTGTACGATATCGTAAGCCATCATTGTGGTTTGTTGGGTTTGAGCATAGTGCGCAAACTGCTGGGTGTGTGTGTGCTATAAACATGTTGCTTAGACCTAGAGAATTGTGGTCATTCAAGCATCTACAATGAGGCAAACCTGGGTGTAGATGAATTATTCAGCCAAATATGTAAGCCTAGTTAAACCTATAACTAAGCTTTAGAAGGTATAGCTAGAGAGGTGAAGTTCTGGGACTTCCCACAGAGGGGTGGGATTAGGTTTTGGACTATGGGGGTGGGAGGGGAGAAGATCTGGGTTGAAATCTTTGCCTGGCCAGACGTCCTTCTAATTGGTTCACTATCCTAGTTTGCCCTTCGCCGTTGGTGCGAGTGTCAAACACAGCACAGGGCTCCTTAGAGGAAGAGGAAGATGCAAAGCTGATGGTTCGTTGGTGGAATCAGAAGGGAAAAGCCAAACACTGCATTGCCCCCCCCCCACAGCTCCCTTCTTAAAGCTGTGTTGCGCCATAGCAGCTACAACCTCCTCTTCCCTCCCTGCTCTTTTCATTCTCTGTCTCCTAAAACGTGGGTGGTTTGGGGAGCAGAGCACCGTGGCTGGATCCATTCCTTGCTGGTAGAGAAGGACTGCAATGCAGTGGCAATTCCTGCAGAGTTTATTCATAATGCTGCACTTTTGCATACCATAGAAACGATGCGAGATATTAAGGGCAGGACATTGAGTCAGGTTAATATTCTGAATATCGCACCGCGCTGTCGGTGGGAAGCAAATCGAGGCCTAATTTATTTGTTTCTTTGTTTCTATGTCCCATTTAGCTGCCCATTTCATGCAAAGCCACTCTGGGTGGCGTACAACATGGAATAAAATAACAAGTGGATAAAAACAAGCATTGTGAAAAGATAAGTTTTTATTAAAATAAAAACCTCATCACATTTTTTTAAAAAATTAGATTTTAAAACTATACAAAGCCCTAGTGGTTCTCTCACCTTTTCCAGGTACCTGTCTATAAACCCACCCCTCCTATGTGTTTTCCTTGCAGCAGCTAAAAGCAGCCCCTCCCTTGGTAACAAGTTATGGGGATATTTAATATGCAAGGATTAAAATCCAGTAAAAAAAAAATTCTGCTGGGCAGAAATAATTGAGCGTATTGTATGGCTACCAGTGACCCTATTTTCTTGGAAAAAATAAAGGACCAGCCTGAAAAAGGGGCAAATCTGAAAGAGGTTCCGAAGGATAAAAAATGTTAATGGTTTCATTAAAAAATGGTTTAATTGCTTATGATGAATAACTTTGCTTTACAAAGGAAAATTTGAGAACAAAACCAAGCAAAGCGTTGCAAAGACACATATTCTAATAAAAATATCTAAAATCAAACAGTAGATGTCAATGTATTTAAAAAAGAATTCTATTTCTCTATTTTTCACATGAATGTGAAAGACGGAGCATTAAGGGGCCCCATTTGTATGGTAAAAGTTAAATGACCCAAAGAAAGGACCAAAGGGAGTTTTTGAAAAATAAATAAATCTAAAGGGCAGCTTTCAGCCATTAAGGACTGTCCTTTATAATAAAGGACTGATGGTCACTATGCATGGCCCAAATTCCTGCTGAAATGTTTTTTTTTTAATATCTGTTGCTGCCTCAACTCTGTTGTGGTTCCTCCTGCAGGCTAACCCGTGTCACCAACATGTTCTTTGGGGACAGAGCAGCATCTGGCCCCCTAAATGGCCTTCCCTCAAGGTCATCCATCCCTTAGCCTGGAGGGAGGAGTGATTTGGGGTCCCTTCAGGTTGCTCCCAGGTGGAGCATTGACCCTCGAGGGCTACTGTGCCTTCCTGATGCTTTTGAATTGTGTGGCCTTTTTGGAGGATTTTTTTTTTTTTAATGACCGCTACCCATCTTAGAATGAAAGGGGGGCAAGAGGAATGGAGGAAACAAATGGGGTGGGTGAAATTTTGGACAGGGATGCTGGAAGGAAACACCTGCAAAATTTGAATCTGCCTTCAGATGCTGTTCTGGGGCCACCAGAATGGCAAGAATGGTGAGAGCGCTTCTGGGCATGCAAAAGAGAGAGGGAGGCTCACCGGGGCTGCAGAAAACCCTTGCTTGGGGTTCTCTGGGTTGGCGGAAGCCAGTTTAGTCTACAAACTAGGTTTGGGTGCATCTGCTCATCCAGTGGAGTTCGAAGAGCACGATCTTTCAAGAGCAAGCCAGCTAGGCTGAAAGAGTGCAGTCTTTACACGAAGCAGCGTTGTGGCTTTGAAAGTGGGGGACGCTTGGCTGTTGTAAACAAGACCACCAGCTGTAGGCCAAGTCAAACTTTTCGGCAAAAATAGGAGAGCGGTAGGAGCCACGTTACGCCCAGAGACCCGGGTTTTTGTCTGAAGCCCGGCAGAGCGTCAATCCGCAGCAGCGTGGGAGGGAAATTCAGACCCGCAGCCCAGACAGAGAGAGGTATAGAAAGATTTGGCCACATCCAGGAAAAGTCCTGTGTTTGTTTTTCCAGAAAAGCTTGGGGAGTTTCGACAGCACCTAACACTAGCCTTCTTTCTAGTGTGAAAACTCCATGTTGTTGTTTTTCTTTCTCTATTCCCCCCCCCCCCCCCC